CATTAATTAGCTATCTTCCTTAGAAGGGCATTTTAATACTTTAAACATATCTATACCTAAAATCAAAAGTAATTTATTACTTTTCTTAATTCTAGGGCTTCCTTTCAAAATGATTTATGGGTTTTTCTTTCCTTGTGCCGCACAAGATAAATTTGTAATAAATGTATTATTTTATAATTAATTTTTATTAAATGTGTGAATATTGACTTCAGTTTAATTGATTAATTAATCAATTAAAGTTATCCATTCGTCAATGGGATTAAAATATATGTTAATTTTTATAATATTTTATATGAATTAATTAAAAAAACGCAGTTATTGTATCATTAACATGCTCAGTTAAAGCATAGGTTAGACAAACCCAATGACTAATAATGTGGAACATAGTAGTATTTTACAAGAATAATGATAGGGGGAGGACAAAAATTTAGAACGCAAATTGAAACCAATAGCATGGCATATGTTATATTATTAAATTAATTGATACATATAATATTATAAATTTTAAAAAAATAAAACAAAAAAATCAATTATTAAATAATATAAAATTTACTTTTTAATATTTTAAATGACATAGTTTATACCACGTCATTAGTTCTAGATTTTGTTTCCAAATTTTTGTCTCATTTATCATTATTTATTTTATAAAAGTTTTTTTTTTTTTTTTTTGCAGTTTGCCTTAAAATTTATTAGTATTGAATATGAAAAAACAACAAGTCATTAATGAATGAAAGATGAATAAATATTTATTAATGATAATTTAATCTTTTCATACTCAAGACTGATGTTTAATTTAATTTTATTTTTTTTGCAAGGCAAACGATAAAACTACAAAACTATAATAATATAGTATTTTCTAATCTATAAACCCCATAAAAGAACTATAAAATTGTTGTCACGTTGATCATTTAGAAAATTTGCAAGTTATTTTACGGATATTCATTTAGTTGCTGAGAAGTTTTTACCCCTAGGAAGATTTATATATCCATGGAAGTGGTAGACAACTTTTCCCTGGGAGAGTTAGAGCTCTGTTTGTCCAATAAAAAATGCAAATGGAAGACATTTTCCACAACCAAACACACAAACTCTTGAATTTCATAGTCGCATTTGATGGTGATCTTTTTGTATACTATAGCTTCATTTGTGAATATTACGT